TAATACTAGGGTACGAATTCTTTGATATGGAACGCCATCACTGCCTTATAGCATAAAACTATGCATTCATTATGTCAATCTATCATAACGTGATGTGAACATATCTTTACGTTATGTCAATTTTTTATGGGGTGATGTAAAAATATCTTTACATCATGTCAATGCTGCATTACATGAAGTAAACACATTCTTCCATTATGTCAGCACTTTATAACTTGAAGTCGGAAGTTCATTATGTGAAGTGAAAATATGTTTACATTGTGTTAAAACTTTATTACGTGAAATGAATGTTTCTTTATATTATTTCATTTCTTTAATATGTGAGGTCAAAATTGCATCACGTCAAGTAAATTGTGTTTTATAATTAAACTTATCATTACATGAAGTCAAAAGTCCATTCCTTTTTGAGAGTGTATATGTCTATCATGTCAAAGCATTATTACATGATATGGATTTATCTTTATATTACGGCGAGAGCATCATGATGTGAGGAGAACACATCCTACCTTTATGTCAGTGCTTTATTACGTGGTATAAAAAGTGTATAACATAATGTGAACATATCTTTATATTATATCAACACTTTATTACATTATGTCAAAACTCCATTCCGTGATGTGGTTATATAATTACGTTATGTCAACTCTTATGTGATTTAAAAAATATCTTTATATTGTGTTAACTCTTTATCATGTTGATTCCAAAAGTTCATTACCTGATGTGAAAATACATTTACATTATCTGAAAGCTGTATATCTAGTATAATAATGAATGTTGACGACTGTATTTTAATGACTGGTAAGAGGGGGGGGGGTTGAGTAGGACGAATAATTATAGACACATAATATCAGCCCCCCTCTTTTCCCAGACATAACCTTATTTTAGAAAATGTAATGTTCATTGAAAGGACAGCCCCCACCCCCACTTATTGTTGAAGTATAGTCCACTAGGGGTAATGTAGTATAACTGAAAAAAATATATGACTAATCAAAGTCGGACCCCCCTCTCCGAAATAGGATTTTCGGGCTTGGACAAATTTTTTTGGCTTGTCAAGTTTTTTCGGATAAATAATTTTTTTTTTCTGGCTGACATCCTCTTTCAAATAAATGCTATGTCACGGAATTAGTTACTGTAATTTTTTCAACCATTCCAAGACCAGAATTCTGTTATAAAAATCTACCAGTCCCTCATCTAAATCAGTTGAATATGCCTTAATAAGCATGCATGGGCACATATTTGTGGCGCATATGGGTATCTTGAAAAAAGAAGGGGGACGGTATAGAGTTGGTGACCAAAGGGGGAAAGCAGAAAAACTCTCCGGCAGGCTTTATAGTTTAATAGAAAAAAAATTTCAATATAATTCAGCTAAACTTAATGTGAAAGTAATGCAATGTCCTACAATATAAAACTAATAAATTTATTAATTTTATGTATATTTTGGTGACTAAAGATGGTAGGGCAGGATTTCTGAACCCCTCCCCCCCTTCCCCAAGCCGCCAGTGCACGTGTGTTATTCGATCGATGTGTTTACACTTTAAAAAAAGAGAGTTAAAGACTGATAAAAAAAAAACTTATGACAGTGTTCTGAGTAAGATCAGAAGTTTAAAGATTTTTATTACAAAAAAAAGCAATTCAAAAGAAAAAAAATGCTGCACGACTCATATTTGATTTATTTAATTATCAGATAAAAGTAAACGCCATTGAATTTCGACGCGTGACTTTAATTCACAGTCGCAGTGTTAAGGCTTTGCACATTTCAAGGTTGTTAATCATTTTTCGCTTAAAGTTTTTATATCATTTAATCGCTGAGAATTTATTTTATGACAGTTTTCTCTCCCGCCATTTTTAGTGCTTTCGGAATGCGGAAAATACGTTATGCTCATATAAAGGCCGAGGATACCCGTGTTCGCATAACGTAATAGTGAATCGACATAATGTAGAAGAGTGCGCACAGTATGATATGAGCTTTCCACATCTGATATGAGATGAAATACCCTAAGATACATGTATGCTGACAAGAGGCTTAGCATTTTTGACACACTGTAAAGACACAATGACTTAATGTTATAACGATTTGTCAAAAAGTAAGGGCAAATTCACATCATGAAATTGATTCACGTCGTCATGTAGCATATTGAAGGCATAAAGTAGTAAAAGAATTGACCACATGTGACAATTTTTTCAGATCATGTAATGAAATTCTGACATCGTATTATAGCGACTTCATATTGAGTTAAAGATAAATTCACATCATGTAATGAACTACTTAGACCAAATAGTAGAGAGTGCACATAATGTAATAATGAGTTGAAAATATATAAAAACATTTTTACACCACGTAAAATTGTTTTGACTTGATGTCATAAAGAGCTGATATAATGCAGTGGAAGATTGGCGCAATGTAATTAAAGTGCGAGTTAATGCCATAACGACTAAACATAATGTAATTGAAAGTTGACATAACGCAATAGTAGTGTGTGTAATTGTCATAAAGAGTTGACATAATATAATGAAAGGTTGACACAATGCAATAGTAGTGTGGACTAATGTCATAAAGAGTTGACATAATATAATGAAAGGTTGACACAATGCAATAGTCGTGTGGACTAATGTCATAAAGAGTTGACATAATATAATGGAAGGTTGACATAATGCAATAGCATTCTGGGTTAATGTCATAAAGAGTTGACATAATGTAATGGAAGGTTGACATAATGCAATAGCATTGTGAGTTAATGCCATAAAGACTAAACATAATGTAATTGAAAGTTGACACAATGCAATAGTAGTGTGGACTAATGTCATAAAGAGTTGACATAATATAATGGAAGGTTGACATAATGCAATAGCATTGTGGGTTAATGTCATAAAGAGTTGACATAATGTAATGAAAGGTTGACATAATGCAATAGCATTGTGGGTTAATGTCATAAAGAGTTGACATAATGTAATGTAAGGTTGACACAATGCAATAGTAGTGTGAGTAAATGTCATAAAGTGTTGACATAATGTAATGGAAGGTTGACGCAATGCAACTGTTGTGTTCTGTTATAAGGCAGTGACGGCGTTCCATACTTTGATATTACATGTATATGTGTATGACATTCCCCACTGAGATCTTTTTTATGTTGATATCATCACCGTATCATGATATATATCTTCAAATATTATAAAATAAAGTATCAGGTTATCTTATGATAAAAAAATTCATTACAAATTACCAAAGTATTAGAAAAAATGATGTAGACTTAGCATTACAAAATAAAGTATCATTGTATACTAAAAAGTTTCTTTTTTTTTAAATTGATATTTCAATATTTTTGTATATGTTTACATAGTGTGTTACGAATTGTTTTTTTTCCCCATCTATGATACCCACTATAAATAAATATTAGTATTTTATGCATTGGTAGTGGGTTTTTTTATTGTTAATGCAAATTGATAATATCTATCTTCCAGGTGATACTCGAGTAACTCTACCTATTTTTGGATTCTTATTACAACACACTTACACTTGATCCCATATTATGGAAAAGGAAAATGATTCTAAAGAGCACATCGACAGTGTTGATTACAAAAAAGATTGGATCAACAAAATTACGAATGAAAAATGTTACAGGGATATTCCAGCTCGGGTATTGCTATTTGTTATTTTCTGTGAAAATATCTGGAAAAAGTACATAATCCTCATTTTTTTTTAATCTGTATGATGGTTAATTCTCCTAACAGCAAAGTATATAGAATTGTGAACTGATAACCAACCAACAAAAACTTTTATGGCGGTACATATTGTGGTTTTATACATATTGTCGTCGAGCAAGGTTTAGTGTCCATCGGAATTTCAACAATTTCTCGGTTACACTTATTTTAATATACTCTAAGAAAAATTTACAGTTTAAATACAAATTAAGCCCTGTATTTTTACAATACACAAATTGATTTTCTCTTATGACCTCCTAAATGTTAATTGTGACGTAATAAACTTAAGCATTTTCCTGTATTTTCATTAAAAGTTGCAGAAGACATCCAATTTCAGTTGAATTTCCTTTCAGAAAACATACTCTGCCACCGTCGCCCACAAAGATTTTGTGATAAATGATTTTTCAAAGAAGTTTGCATAAGATATCTAAAAATTGAAGTGGGCAACGCTGGCAGACATTATTTTCTAAAGTAAAATAAGCACAAAAATGATTAATTCTGAGGCTTTTCTGCATTAACCTTAGAAATTTACCTAATTGATGACGTCATATTTCAAGATCAGTCCTCCTTGGTGCCATATTCTTTAATAATTTATCATATCCATATACTGAACTCTTGTTAAAGCCAATTTCATTACTTATTGAGAACATTTAAATTTTAGAGCACAATAAAGCTCAAACCATACCTTCTTCTTTAACTCTATCAGGGATTTTTTGACAAATTCAGCCATTTTATCCGAAATATTTCTTCGCGATATCTTTGCAAACATGTATTATACTCTTGTACAATGTTTATTTTTACATCATTTGTTTTCTTATGGATGAGACTACCAATTTCTCTCTCTCTCTCTCTCTCTCTCTCTCTCTCTCTCTCTCTCTCTCTCTCTCTCTCTCTCTGGTAATCAATAAAGGTAAACTTATAATACATGTATTGTTACTACGCATTTAAATAATTAAAATGGATATGCTTGATTTAAAATAACAGGGTTTTCAACCAGCGTGATGATAAGATGTACATAAAAAATGCTATTTTAAGTCTGATTAGTTTTCAAGTTTAATGTGTTCTACACGTGAAAATTAATAAAAAGATTTTATAAAGAGGTCGATTAAATCAGTAAGAATTTAAAACTGTATAAAAAAAAACCATCTTGTCATTATTTTATTTCATGTATATGTATTTATATATATATATGTCTTTCTATATTTCATATCAGGTTTATTCTGTTTGGTACAGGCAACCTTACATCATAACGTTCGCTATGGAAGTTTTGGTCTCCAGCATGACTATAAATCATCGGGGTATGAATATTCAACAACTATTGAGAAGCATACAAAATATAGAACACAAATTATTTTCATTACCGTCATAAGCTGCCTGATAGTTCTTGGAGCAGGAGGTGCCTTTTTTATTGCTTTGGTGAAGTGGAATCATAATCATGATGATACTCCTCAAAACCACTTTGAAGTGGGTAGGAAAGATACATTATTAAACTACATCCTAATTAATAGCAAATATCTGCTTTTTGCTTTGTATTTAATTTAGGATTTTTTAAAAAAAATAATTATAAAATGAAAATGGCGCATGGATATTCACCATTTGCGTTTCTAGTAGGTTATATAAATTTTGAGATATATTCTTGACAAGTATGTTAGCATTTTTGTCTTTATAATATCTCTGTTTGAAAGAAATTCTCAAATAACTAGCATGGCACTAAATTTGAATGACAAAGGATTCAAGAGAGTGCTTAATGATACATCAATCCTCCATTTCCTCATGACAAAGTCTATAATATTGGAGCAAAATATAAGGCACTGTCCGTAAATTTCTGAAAATTCATTACTTGAATATAAAAGAAAAACTGATATATAGACTTGACGGATAAGAATTCTCATTTGCATGAATATGTTTAATAATACTTTTACCTTTTACCTTTTCTCTATAAATCAATGATGAATGATTGTTACATTTTAAATTCGTATATGAATCTCAATCAGCGACTGATACCTTCGGCATAATTTGATTTTATCATTATGAAGTTTTGAAACAAACAAAGCTGGTATATTGCCTTGGATAAACAGTAAAGTTTCAACATAAATGCTTAAAATCGTATCACGCTTATACAGAAAAACATTCAGTATCTTCATTATTTCCTGTCTTTTTAAGTTCAAGCAAAAGGACAAATGAGGATTCAGCAGGATTTTACAGAAGAATTAAATAATAAAACATCTCTGGTTTATCTTAACTTCACACATGATTTCTGTGAAGAGGTAAGAACTTGCAATGCTTTTTTTTTAAAGAAAAAAATTTTAATTTCAAGAATTAATTTCATTGTATATGTAGAAATACATAGCTGTCAAGTTAAAAAGTAATTTTTTTCTGACATATAAGCTTGTCAAGAATCTGTAAATAATTGATCTTGTTACCAGGAGCTAAGGAAATTTATTGTCTTACCCAACATCATTTACTTTAAATTAGTAAACTTTTCAAATAGATCCTTATTCTTCTTATATATGATTTTAGTCGTTACTGACCTAAGTCGATAATTGTTTTATTTAACAACATAAATATTTTCTTATATCAATATTGTAATTTTAAAGTTTCAATCACTGCACCTTTATGGTGCCATATTAATCAAGATTTCTAAGTTTGTTTAACTCATTAGCATTACTCAAAGCAAAACTAAGCATATTACAGTCTTTTCTGGTCGCCAATTTGTTAGAGCGTGTCTAACGTCGTGGTGTAAGAAGTTGCTTCTGTAGCGGGTTTGATCCCACAGTGTGATGTAGAGACTGGTTCTTCATATGAGATTGTTAGACCCGTTTCGCAATACATGAAGGTGCCGATACGAGAAAAAAAAAATACTGCCCAAAGGTCGTTAGTACGAAGAACAGGTCTAGATTTGCAGCCCTCCATCGACAGGTGTGGTATCTAAATAGTAGATAAGAAGGAAAAATACTCGAAGGAACTTTAAAAAGGAACAAGCCAGCAATTTTACCTTTCCGAAAGCAATCCTCTCGGTCATTATTTAAAAAAAAAGGAAGGTATGCAATGAAAAAAAATCGTCGACGAAAAAATTTGGATTTAATACGGAATTTGAATTGTCATGACTATGACTTAAAGGCACTCTTCAGAGCAATCTTAAAGCCATGTCTTTGTCGTCTCTCAATTGTTGTTAGACCCTTTTCATGACATCATGTAATCATAACTTTAGTAAACAACTCATACTGATCACCAAATGTTTTTAAATTTCTCTTCTTGATATTTTTATCTTTGTTATCTGAGTGTAATTTGTTACCTGAATGTAAGAATGCAAGAAAAACGACCATATTCGGCTTTAATCAACCTTAATGTCTAGCTCTATTAGATATAGATTAAAATTTACCTTTAGACTTTTTAAAAACTAATATGATAAGAAAAATTATATGATTTAAAACATTCAAGTGTTATGTCAGCAATCACTTGATTAAAAATATATTATGTAGATTTCCTGATTTATCATTTTAGATTGCAACATGTATCAAATGGGATAGCCTAACGATTTTGCGGAACTGTGCTGTCACAGGACTTCGGTATGATTTTCAAGATATTTGCACTCCGATTTTAATTGAATGGAATTTTCAAGGAATTCAGATATTTTATTTTTTTCTTACAGGAATGGAAGCATTGTGGTTGAATTCACAATATTTTTACAGACTGAAATAAGTCGGATGTCAGTGGAAATTTTAGACTCCACATTTCGGAAATCATTCATGAAGAAAGAGAATGACTTTGAATATTTTGGAAAATATCCAGTGACCAGTGCCAGTTTATCATTATCTATTCTTACACCGTACACAAGTACCACGAAAGACGGAAACACAATATCTACATTTCGTACTTTAACTAGAGCTGCAACTACTTTACAACCTAGTATCGATCCTTTTAGTAAAACCCTATTTACTGTTTTACCGTCATCTGTAACATCTTCCAAGACGACCAGTTCCCCTACAACATCCCCTTATACAGGTTTTACTTCTATCATCACTTCTTCAATGGCGGCTACTGCAATTTCTACTACAATGATGAGTTCTATCATGGCCTCTACTTTTCCTTCCTCTGTTTCTCCTAAAACATCGGTTACAAAAATGTCAATCCCTGCTGTACTCTCCACGACAGCAATTTCACCTAATGAAAATTCTACTGTGACAATGGGAAAAACTGCCTCTAATTTCTCTTCCACACATACTATGATTTCAACCCTGACCGCCACCCCTGAAGTTTTTACAGGCCCTGGTAGAGAAACATCAACAACAATCCCTGCACAAGCTACACATGTTTCTAAAAGCACTTCTTTTTTGGATAAAATTTCATTACTTTCAACTAACATTCATAACCCATCAACATCTCCTTTACAACCAATACTGAGTTTAGATGCAAGTGATACTAATTCAAGAACAGCTCTATCAACGACAGCGATTTCTACATCAATATCAACAAATGGTATTGATACTTCAGTTTCAGATTCTTCGTCAATCCCTTCTTCTTCTTCTTCAATTCCGATTAAAACTTTGCGATCTACTGAATCTCCGAATACATTCAATACATCAAGTGAGGAAAAAGCCGTATGGACATATTCAAACGCATCATCTTCAACAAAAGAGGCACTTATTAGAACCTCAAAAGTTACTTCTTTTCCTGTACCACCAACACCACAACCACAAGAAATCCCTCACCTACGCACAGATGTAACAAACACTGCAACAAAAACTCTTCATTCAATCTATAAAACTACAACTACATCTACATAAGAAATACCGATCACACAATCAATGGCAGATAAAACAACCACTAAACTTCAATTGAAATAACCCTTTATCTTTGCAACATATATCATCTATCTTTCACGGGACAATTAAGGACGACTAATATATTAAACGCTTAACTGTATATGTAATCAGATCTAAGCTTTAAAAAAATTAAGCAATCTACTAAAATTTTTAAATTCTTGGCCCCAGGGACAGGGGTTCTGGAGTTAAGGGGCGGAGGTCTGATGATCTTTTCTCTCGTATGATTAGAAATTTAAATCAATGCAATATTATGATTAACTAGTATTCCCTATGAATTGGCAATGATAATTTCCATTTCTATATATATATCAATACGATATATCCTGGTAAGCTTGAGATAAAAAAAAGTACCACAGAGTCTGACACATCTCTTTCGTACTTGGATATTTTACTTGAAAAAGACGATAGTGGTAATCTAACAACCACGCTATATGATAAACGTGATGACTTTAATTTTTCTATCATTAACTTCTCTTACTTATGCAGCATTATACATTTATCACCTGCATACGGAGTGTATATATCTCAGTTGATTCGATACGCAAGAGCATGCTCTACGCGTGAACCATTTCTAAAACGAAGTAAATTATTGACAAGCAAGTTGATGAAACAAGAATATCAGCAGTCTCGTTTAAAGTCATCATTTCGTAAGGTCTATGGTCGATACAATGACCTTGTCAGCAAATACAATTTATCATTGAGTCAAATGCTGACTGACGTTTTTCATACTAATTGTTAGTCCATTATTTAAACACTGAATTGACGACGGATTTTTCCGTTATTTCCCGATCATGATAAAGAGCACATGGCGGGTGTGACCGGTCAGCAGGGGATGCTCACTCCTCCTGGCACCTGATCCCACCTCTGATGTTTCGGAGGTCCGTGTTTGCTTTGCTCGTTTTTGTATTCTTTTATGGACTTTGTTATTGAATACTGTTCGTTATCTCCATATCCTTCTTAGACGTAATCACAGTGCAGAAAAGTCATATTAATTGCTCCGTAGTGCTGAAGAAGCGCGCTGACCCAATTTGTTGTTTTGATTTCTGTAATTAAGCTATGTGTGTTCATTATAAATATAAACCTGTTAAAAAACATTCAACCTCCTCAAATAAATAATATATAATTGAGTTGAATATATATTTCATGAATGTAAGGCATCCTCTCTGTATAATGTGAAATACCGGTTTTACTATGCATGTAATTTAGGGCAAATATTCAATGACATCCGGTAAAAGCACGGTTGTACGTGTAAAGCAACATCAGTGAGTTTAATTTGTTTTCCTGTTTTCTTATAGAAACAGCAATAAGATGTATAAAGTGAGACCATTAATATATACCAGACATATTCACAGTGTAAAGTAACTTTTAAAAATTTAAGGGGGATAAATGTAGTTTAAGTATTTCCGTAACTGTGACGCGTCGACCTCTATTTTATTAATCAATTAAGTTTTAATTTCTTTTCCAGCTCATTTTCACTGAGCATCCAGAACAAACATCACTTTTAACTAGCCCCTGTCTTCCCAAAAAACAATCATTCAAATAAATGATTAAATATTTGTTAATTCATTGTACGAAACGTTATAATTATATTAAGCAAAGGATTTTCAACATATACATTAGATTCGTAACCGTTCTTTGATGTTCTTGGGTGTTATTTTCCCATAGAAGTGCTTATAAAACAACAAATATCTTTTTATATGTGCTTTTTGAAGAATATGTTCGTTAAAAAACTTTATACACTGCATATGATAAAATAGTTACATTCTAATCTGAATTGTTATGTAAATACAGAAATTGTTCGCGAACTCTTTGATCACCCCTCAGTTTGTTTGAAATTAGGATCTCAACCAATATCGGCCTACTCCGATGACAATAGAAATGACAAATTGATATATGTAAATGTAAACAGCATTTAACGACTTTTCGGTGCTGAGTTCGCTGATTTGAATGATTCTTGCAGTGTTTATTTTGCTAACTGAAAATAGTAATATGGTTATTAGCTGCTTATAACTAGTAGATGCCTAATTAAATAATTATAACAGACAAGAGTGTTCTAAGGAACGCTTGTGTCACCTACTTTATAGAATCATAAAAGACGTAAATAAATCCCGTTATGACCAGCTGTTTATTGCATATTAGTCAATGCATTTGCGCCAACAACGCCAAGAAAAGAATTTCACCACCCTTAAACCAAAAATGAATAATGAGATATTTATGGGGAAAATTATTAATTTTTATTTTGTTTTTAAGTAGACATACCACGAACAAAAATTTTCTTATCTCCCACAAAGAAGAGTTACACTGATAATTTTTCAGTACCGGTATTTCTTTCCATGGAAATGTAATTTAAAAATTTTTAATTGTGAATACACTCTTGTAAATTTTCCAAGAAACTTTGTAGTGTATGTAACTTCGTACATACCTAAACCTTTTTTTAAAAAATGTATTGAGCTGTAAAAGTACATTTTCGCACTTTTTACTAAAATGGCTTGGCAAAACATAATCCCGTTACATTAAACAAATATCACTTAAAATGTGAGAGAGGCACTGTAAACCAATGAAGAAAACTTGTCTTTGTTTTCAAAGTTTATTAAATGAATCCAAGTTTACAGTTTCTCCGTGATCGGATAGGTTTTTAATTAATAACGTAATTGTAATCAGCATAGACCAATACACTTTGTATAAGAATGTTTGTAAGATCCCAAATATAGAAGAAGAGCTTAGAACTAAAAGTCCGAAAACTAAGAGTCCAAAATATTTCAAAAGAGTGTTTCAAAACAAAGTCAAAGAATTTAGAATTTAGTCTCGAATTTAGAATGGCGTTTTCCGGCCAAACAGGGTATTTTGTACTCAGAGGGTATTCATGATCCAGGCTATATAAAAGTACTTTCCATTGGCTGTCTTACCATTGCCCTGACACCTACGCTTTGTCCGTAGGTCTGTCCGTTGACCTATGAACCCCAACATGGCACCACCCTCAAATACAGGTAAACATACGATAGTAATATTTATGGACTCTGTCCACATCTCCGCTCCACAGGAGTTCTAGCCCTAAGCTCTTTTGCTTATCTACTTCAAAGTTCCCAGTTTTATTACTCTTGATCAAGAATCTTAATAGTAAGTTTGTATTTCCGTTCAAATTTTATTACTTAGTATCGATGGACTGGATTGGTCTATTCTGATCATTTTCCTTTACAAAATGATTTACAAAATTATAGTTCATTGTACCAACAACAACATCCAATTTGTTTTAACAATTGAAGATAATTATAGTTTATGGAATTAAAGTTTCTTTTCCAATTATAAAGTTACTGTGTGTGGTACACTAATAATGAACATCCTTGTTTAATAAACTTTCATTTTATTTTACTATCACTAATACGTTCACTATTAATAACTAAAATGATTATGATATGAAATGATTAAAGTCCAAGTTTAAACTGTTCAGACAAAATGTCCGTTCTAAACCCTGTAGGTTTACAGCACACATTTTAGCATAGGTATTTTAATTTTGGGAGAAAAAAGTCTATTATTTATCTTTAATCCATCAATCCTCTGATCGCCCTTACTTATTACTCTAGCTGCAACTATCTATTTTGTTATACCGAATCCGTTTTTAATTACCATAAAATACATTCAACTTCTTGTTTGTCCTGCGAAAAAAAATATCTGAAAGTGAGTGTCTGGCAAACCTATACTAAATTGAAAGGTTTCTAGTTTTTGTGGTGAAATTTAAAAATATCAAGAATATCTGTATTCGAATATTCGTTTCCGAAGATGGAAATTGCCCTTGGTGGACATGTAGTTATTCTATTCTTTTATAAAACGGATGTTTTGGATGCTGAATATATTTCCAAACACTTTATGTGAAAAAAACGTGTGTAATGTTAAATATGTCTATATATCAGCCATTACACTGCATGGCTATGATCGGGACACAAGAAATCTGATGCAGTTTTTGTGTTATTAAGAAAATTTGTAAAATTACAGAAAAATGTCCCTTTAGCAAGTTATAGTACATGTAATATTGTATTTAAAAACTGTCATTTATCAATAAAATTGAGAAGCAAGTCGAAGTAACTGCGTTTCATTTCTTCAGGGCATCCAAAATGAGGAGTACTGTGGTTTATTTCGAGAAACATAAAATGGTTACGGCGATTCTATTCTCTTCAACATTTCTTCTACAAGAGTAGACGCTTTGTCTAAAAAAAAAAAAAAACAAGAGGCCCAGGGGCCACATTGCTCACCTTAGCAATTGACTAGGAAAAAGCACATATCCAATCAGAACTGAAAGTTTACTGAGGGGGAGGGGGCTTGAATTTTAACCCCCAGGGGGTCATGATTTGAACAAACTAGAATCTACACTACTTGAGGATGATTCCCTATAAATATCGCTAAGCATGGCTTTGAAGTACTTGATAAAAAGATTTTAAAAAGTTTCCCCTTGTAAAACTTTTATCGGCCATTTGGCCCCACCCTACCCCCGGGGGTCATGATTTGAACAAAGTTGAATCTACACAACCTGAGGATGATTCCACAGGAGTTTCATCTTTCCTGTCTCAATGGTTCTTGGGAAGAAGACTTTTCCTATATATTCCTATGTAAAACTTTGATCGGCCATTTTGGCCCCACCCTACCACTGGGGGTCATGATTTGAATCTACATTACCTGAGTATGATTCCACATGAGTTTCATCTTTCCTGGCCCAGTGGTTCTTGAGGAGATTATTTTTAAAAAAATCTTTCCTATATATTCCTATGTAAAACTTTGATCGACCATTTTGGCACCACCCTAACCCCGGGGGTCATGATTTGAACAAGTTTGAATCTAAACTTCATGTACCTGAGGATGATTCCACATGAGTTTCATCTTTCCTAGACCAGTGGTTCTTGTAAAGAAGATTTTTAAAGATTTTTCCTATATATTCCTATGTAAAATTAGGGTCGGCCATTTTGGCCCCACCCTACCCCGGGGGTCATGATTTGAACAAACTTGAATTTGCACTACCTGAGGATGATTCCACATGAGTTTCATTTTTCCTGGCCCAGTGGTTCTTGAGAAGAATATTTTTTTAAAAATGCCATTAATTTTTCTCTAATTCATAATTATCTCCCCTTAGAAAAGGGCGTGGTCCTTCATTTGAACAATCTTGAATCCC